CCTGCCCGGTTCGTTCAGACGCACAGTCTTTGACACACCACTCACTATCACATCCCGGTATCCATGCACATTCGAATCTGATCACCGAACATTTCATTTGGCCACGCGTAATCAAAGATGTTCGTACCTGCTTTCGCGCCTGCCTTTAATACCAACGATCTAAAATACATCGTCACACCCGCGGTCCCCTTGGTTCATTTCTTTCGCCGAACTCTCCGTCCTCGCATGTACACTTAGACATGCTACGTCACTTGCCTCCTTCCCGCGGATTAACATACATTCTTACATGTGTCGGCCGTTTCACCAGATGGTCAGAAACCATTCCCCTAACAGACTGCACAGCTGATATTGTTATCCGGTCCTTCTTAAACCGGTGGGTCTCGCACTACCGAAGCCCATCCGCCATTACAACTGACCGAGGAACGCCCTACAAAACTTCACAATTCGATACCTTTTACGGCCTTTTAGGCTGCCGCCACATACATACCACAGTGTATCACCCATCAACCAACAGTTTACTTGACCGCTTCCATAAACAGCTTAAAGCCTTGCTCTGCGCCGCCTCCGACCCTAACTGGAGCGAAAACATATCGCTTATACTCTTAGGCATCCGCAACAGCATCAAATCTGACTTACAAGGTGCACCAGTGGAGCTGGTTTACTGCAGAACGTCCAAGTTGTCAGGAGAATTTGTTTCGTCTCCCGCATCGTCGGGTATGCCTCCGCCTAACTTTGCGCCCTCCCTAGCTCAACGCATGCGTTCACTAGGCAAAACCGCCCAGTGAACAGACTAGAGAAGTGCAAATGCACAGCGGACTCTCTAACTGCACTAACATATTCCTCCGCATCGAAGCAGTGCGGCGCCCTCTCCAGCCTCCGGACACTGGCACTTCCAGAGTTCTGTAACGGAGTCCGAAGCACTTCAACTTAGACCAGAATGGTCATCGATTAACGGTGTCCATCGACCGTCTCCAAGTGGATTTCTTTGACGAACCACTTTCAACCCATTCTGATGCTATCACACAAGCATCCGCACCTGCGGTGACTTCCCTAGTACTGGATATCCCAAAACCCTCCGTTCCCCTAGACCTCCAACCTACCTCGCCTCAACCCCAAGCAACCGACCGACGCGGTAGACAGGTCAAACGTCCGGTCCGTTTTACAGCTTTTGTAAACGTTTGCTATTTCCATTAACACGCCTTTGGCGTCTTTAGTGGTAATCGTGTGTTTCCTCCACAAACGTTTTGCGAAATCGACCAGAAACCCAAAATATTTTACAAACTTGGAAAGCGTATTTGTTTATCCTGCATGCCATGTTTCCTCTCCGGCGTTAAGCCTAGAATCCAGTAAACTTTGCTACACACCCAATCTTCGAAGCCCGTATACAAGTCCATGCAGATATTCGCACCCATCGCCACCTCCGGTGTTTCCCCACTAACACCTCCATCGAAGGCCTCCATCCTTTAGTCTTCTAGCGGAAGGCCCTTTTAGTGTACATGAAAACACGCACTTTCAGTAGTTCACAATATTGGAGTTTACTGTTGTTTAAACCTTCACAACGTCCATTTGTTTTACTAACAGCAGTTCCGTTTTCACAAACTGCTTTCGTAAGTCCAGTGCCATACCGCTCCTCGCCCCGGTCGATTCGCTTCCTATTCTTTTAGCCTGTACAATACACGTTGGGTCCAACAACCCCCCAGCTTCTCTACTGTCTCGTATTTGACACGTTTCTTACGCGTCATTCTTACCGACTAGTATCCCAGTCGCCACCCATGACCATAATGTCATCAGTTGCAGACAGAACATTTCAGATTATGTATAAAGTGTGGTTAAAGTAGTTTGCAATTTTGGTCGAATGAACTGAAGAATGTTTGGATATTTGGTACATACTTCTATTTCGAACGATTCATTCCTGTCTTCTACCCAAACATTATTTTTCAAGCCTGCTACGAGAATGTGAAGCATTGCGTTGAAACATACACTTGAAGCAAGAGGCCTCTCTAGGTAAAACAACACAAAGTTAAGATAAGGGCTCGTTCTAAAGGTTTTGGAAAGACTAACGATTTTTCAGTGTTAAGGATTCTCTACAGACTGATAATAAGAATGGAAAATCTGCGATTCTTTCGTCACAACAGTGAAAAAGTGTATACATTGGATAGTACTTCTTCGCTACCACAGCGATCACGATTGTTGTAAGGTGTATTTACGTACTACAAATCTTTTCACCCCCGGTGGTGTTCTTATCTATACTACTGCAGAGGCAGCTGAAACCTTCAACTCCTATTCTGCTGATGTTTTCCCACTGTGAATTGCACTTGAAAATCCCTATGCTCCTCCAAAGTAGATTCCGACGCTAGTTCTACTAAACACCAGATGATGGTGCTTAGTTCACTTGGGTCTAGATGGATTCCCTGCAGTCATCCTAAACTAAGGTAGCGATGATATCCTCCATTTGCTGGTAAACCTGTTTAGTACACCAATAACACCTAGGTTTCGTTACCATCAGCGGAAACTGGCGATAGTATGATCCGACCACAAAGCCCGGCCATTAACTAGTGGATCATAATTCCGAGAATTATCTATGCATTGCTTCAATAAGAAGACAATTGTGATTTTTGTAGCACCAGATGATCAGATATCAACAGCACAGTAGGGATTTCCCTAAGTGTTCAATTGTAAATTAACAATTATATTTCTTCGAGCACCTAATAACATCAACAGATTCCCGTAAGGCCTTCAGTTCAGTTGACTTAAATCTATAAAAGACTTCTACAGCATTTTCCTTTGAAAGCATGTGTGCAAACTTCGCGATACTGGTGCACAGACTCACGAAGAGAAGCGCCTCGTTTGTTATAAGCAAATAATCGAAATTGGTCTCTATCAGTTGCGTGATATATTAACGATGGCATATTACAAGGCAATACACCTGAGGCGCTTCTTTTCCTGACCTGCGTAGGTGACTTTTCATTGCAGCTTGAAACGGGAGACCTTGTATTTTTCTGGTCACCGAGTCACTAGACATATCTTTTACTTTTGAAATTCAAAGTGACTTAGTATTTCTGGAACAGTGGTATGGAAAATCTTCCATGAACATTACGAAATGCAAGGGCAGCATTAACTGCTATAGATACAGAGCTCATCAGGATGTTTGCTTTGACAGTCTATTCCACTCCTTTTGAGTGATTCGATCTGGGGCTTCCGTTTTGCGTATTCCAAGAAACCCGGTGGATATACAGTGGCTGTGGCACTACAAGCTTTTAGTATGAACGACCGCCTGTCTATTAAAAGAAAAGCTAAACCTGTCTTTCCAACTACACACCAGGCAAATAGTAGACCGCGTCGTTGTCACATTCATTTGTGGTAGAAAAAAGACGCGCGGTCACTGGGAGCAACGCAGAAGTCCTTTGCGAACAAACCAGTGGGTTGCACCCCAGTCCTCTTAAAAAGCTAAATGACAGCAGTTAAACATCGAATCGCTGTGGTTTCGAAGACACAAATTGACCCTTTTTCCGCGCTACAAATTTGTCCATCGGCAGGTAGGCACCAGTTGCTAGCAGCCGGTATATCAAGAGCCCTTGCCGTATCAACTTAGAAGCAAATACTGGCCTCATTGTCACATATAGCATAGGAGTACCTTTTCACGCTTACACATCCCATGCTATGGAGCCGCTCGCCTCAAGTGGTCAGAAGTTTATATTCGATGCGCACACTTAAGATGCACCAAAGAAGTGCCTAACTACCATAGATAGTAAGGAGCTATTTTGCGTACATTATATGGATGAGCAGTATGTGCGAAAAGATCTTAGCATATCTAGGCACTCACGGGATTCACAACAACAAAAAATGAATAAAAATAAGATGGTTGGTTGTTGCAACAAGTTGTTTTGTAAGGTATAGATTGACCACTGCTTACCTTGGTCACTAATTATAAGAAATTTTTTCTTTTGGTTATTTAGCTTACCTCCAGCTAGCATCCTTATCAAATTTACATCCTTTACTTCTAGTCAGATTAAAGAATCGCCAATAACCTGTGGAAAAATTGAGTATATCTATAGGTTGAAAAACGCAGCTTTATCTTCGACTCTACTTTACGGTTTCATCTCCCATAACCTGTTCCTTTGGAGACAACTAGGTGCTTGCAATACGTGAACATACTGAAAGGTTGGACGTTGTAGGTCCCTTCGCTGATCCACCTAACTTATATGCATAACCCCATGTTACGCTACTTAATTGCTTGTGTGATGCACGTCATTGGTTTTAAACGACTTCCCAGGTTAGCTGTCCCGTGCTTATGTGTTATTCTTTTGTCTTCTCTTGCTTCCTGCACTAGCAAAATAATTGTAATACGCCAATCTTGGAATTCTTAATCCACACGTTTATATACGCTGGTCGTTTTTATCCCACAATCATTTTCCGCAGTTTTTGTAATACTTCACCTGTAAAATATTGTGCGCTTGTGACCCGTCGTCTATTCCGAAGTCTCCTTGGAACGAAATTAATGGTGAACGAACCAATGGAAAGTGCGTTACATCTAGCCTTGTAAAACAAGCATTAGTTGATCACTGTGAAGTTTCTTTGCTCAGTATGATTATACGAAGTTCACTGGGCCTTTTACCATCCCGTACAGAACATAACTAATATCATTACCGCCACTACCACCATTAATATTACCTCTTCCTTTGTCTCAAGAGCAACAAGTCAACAACGACTTACATACTTAATCTAAGCAGCCAGAAACACTTTTAAATGATTCGTCAATCTCCGGATACAGGACGCGAGGTTCCGCTGACGAGCTGTTAGGTGCAACCCGATAGATGACGGCAGTCACTGATCAACATAATTTCTTTGCGGAACCCATGACTTTCTTAGTCATGAATCCAGACACTTCCGATGCTCAAGGAAACGACGTGTCATGAAATCGTGCTCACAATTGATGGCATTAGTAGAGATTATTTGGCTACTCACTTAAACAACTTCATTCCAATCTCCGTTAAACTCACCTCTCTAAAACCTTCTTTCCCCTGGCTTTGAGCGTTTCGTTACCAAGTAACACGCGTATCAACACATGCGGATCGACCTCCTGAAAGAGGTTGGCATTTGACATTAAACATGGTAGAGATCGCGGTGGTTGTGTTTATCAAGCTTGAACGAAACTGCTTACTTACGTTTCCTTTATAGTCGATTATCGTTCCATTGTACACGTCTTGATGTTTGTAGTCGTTGAATATCTGCCCTCTGAAAGGATTTCTGCGGATGTAAAAGAGCATATGGTGTGTTTTACTGTGTGGCTCCATACAAGACAATGCTGGTGATGAGGAACTGCTCATGACGAAGTCGTAATGGAAACTAGGCTGGTTTCCTTAAGTGAACAAAGATACTGCCTGGAAGTTGTTCGCTGTTGATTCTCCAAACCCTTAAAAGTAACACCGAACGACTTCCAATTCAGATCGTAATGACCGAGTTCTATTTCAAAGTAAACCGAGGGCCGAATAGAGATTGCGTTTCGCAATCCAATCACACAACGAACACAACGAGTACTCCATATCCAGCTATGAAAACTACTAGCATTGTTCTTTGAAGTACTTCCGTGAATGAGTTCACGCGAGCAGTGTAATCAACAATACGGGGTTTCCAGATTCGGATGTTAGGTGTGTACAAGTGATCGACACAATGCACATTGAGTCTCTGAGTTAACACGCACTCTAATCCATATTTTACTGGTGTTTCGGTATTGTACTTTTCGCACTGGCTGTGGATTAGGAAGTTAATCTGACGCCGCGAAAGCCTCATGAATACTCGTGAGTGTAGATTTTGAATCTCGCCGGGTGATGGAACCAAGTTTTTCAAGCCCGATGTGCGTTACACTGCACGAGATTTCAATGGGAATTTCAAAACGTGTTTCGTAGGTTGTCTGTCTTTACTGTATGACGAAAATCAGATATCTGGAAACATACGATAAAACCGTCGATCATACCCAGCCGGACATGCCGAATCTGCTGTGGTTTGTACAATTTATTTATTTATTAACTGGCACCTGAGCTTGGGTTTAGAGCAGCATTTTCAGCTACCGAAGAGGGTATTGCAGCAACCGAACTGAGGCGATTCACCGGACGGTAGACTGACGGAAGTTCCCCTATAGCCATGTACGCTCTCTGGTTTCTCATGTGGATCGAACCATTTTATTTTATTTTACAGCACTTTATTTAACTTATTCACCATAATAGATTACTTAACCTGGTGCAAACAACCAACAACTTTTTTGTAATTGGGACCCAAGTCGCGGAGACTTTAAGTCGCCGTATATGTGAAACCAGTCCAACGCCGTCCAATATGGGGTTGTTAGCGAGAGAGTTAGAGCAACGAAAGCTGATGTAATCACACAATCCTTTAACATGCTTTGTTCCTATGATGTAACTTGACTTTAAACAACTATGTAGCAGATACACTTAGTAAATTCGGTAGGGAAACAGAAAATATTCCCAGCGTTGTTCGCTCCAAACGTTGCGAATGTCAACACAAAGTGTCTTCAGTTCGGATTCTGTCCTGATGGTTATCATGACCTATGTTTACTTAAGAGTTGCTTATGTTCCAGATAGAGACTAGAATTAGCGCTCCACACATCGGTTACACAAAATCTCGTGGGTATTTTTGGACTGGGTCTCCACTTCAGTAATACTCACTCACCTCTTGTTGTTAGCTATATCGTCTACCATCATCGTAATCACGTTTTCCGGCGGTATCCCTCTTCCTGTCAGCAACTGATATGCATGGCACACGTCCGCCTGAAATTACAATGACAACAAATTCGAGCACTCTGCAGCTGTAAAAAAACACAAGATTAAGCTACTCCAAACCCTAGTTCAACTACAGATTCAGCCTTATCGTTTTGGAATTTGCGCACACCTTCGTTGACTAATGGTAGTTGCTTTATTGAGGATCGATCGAATCGTTCTCTGACTGTCATCCCTTGTCTTGCGTGGAATATTCTGCTTAACTATCCTCATCAGACAAGTGGCGCATCCTTCGTTCGCACAAATCGGACTATGCTATTATGATTACTATCATGAGATGCATAAGCTATGCATTTGACGTTGCTGGTTTCCCGTGCAATACTCTTCAAGCAAGAAATATGAGACAGATTCTGTCACTTTCTGCCGACATTTCTCAGCCTTGATAGCTCCCGCATGGTCAAGTGATCAGGTTTGATAGATTCATGTATTTGCCTAGATGGTAGCGAAAATAAACAATCCCACTAGTCCGTGACCAGACTTCAGCCAGTCGCCACTATTGCCCGACACAATTCTTGCTGAGATCTACTCAGTCGCATAAATTGTGCTTTGTGAACTTGCAACGGACCGGTTCGATTCGCTGGTGTAACGGAAGGACCCACCCAGCAGAAGAAACTCGACAATTTGTCGCACTTTTCAAAGTACCCTTCTTGACACATATCAGATCGACCTATTTTCACTCGACGTTTTATTTCCATCTATCGTTCATTTGCTGTACCATGTTACACACGTAGGTTAAAGCGCAAACCAGCCGACGACATCTTGGCCGACTATCGTTTCATGAATAGTAGGAAATGAGCGTGTGCACTCAACAGTAGTTCGTGATGCACATTGCCACTATTCTAAAGACCTTGCGACTGGTCATAGCAACAGCAAATTCGGGGCTTCCACAGAATTTGTCCTCATGCTCGCAAAACGCTTTATAGTCACACATTATCATCCTTGATGCGAACATTAAACTGCGAGGATCAGATAGACTATTTTGAGTCCTTTCAACATGATCCCTTCACGTCTTGTATCCTCGTTACTGAAATATTCTTGTGTCAAATTACCATTCGTTTGGAAAGTTTAGTAACCGCCGCTCATAAGTAACTAGTGTGTGTCACACGCATGAATGCTCCAGAATCATAACCTATGCATACTATTTCTTTTTTCACGTAAACAAATGTGCAAACTACCAGTTTTCTGTTCATCAGTAACCCTCGGTATCCTTTTTGGTCTGTAAGTTGCCACAGTATATTACTCCATGGGACAATCCTTCTGGCTCTGTGGTACTTACCTCACATGCATGTAACCTGTCTTAAGCAACTATGGCAGCTTATGTTTAACTGCAGTTAAACTAGACAGCTTGTTGTGTTAAACGAATTCAAAAAAGACTTTGGTGTCATGTGCTGTTTTCTCTGTTGTATATAACAGTCATCCACTATATACGTACCTGGTGACGATAATTGTACCAACCATCTGAACCGGCGACCAACACTGCCCAATTCTTCTTCGGATTCTTGTTGAAAATGGTACTGGGCCAAGAATGACTTTCAGCCTTAAGCCAAAAAGACAGCAGCAGTAACGACGCCTTAACCGCTAGCCTCATTTCGTCCCCCAGATCCTGTTCATTATGCACTGTTCATATATCTTGTGCACGTACACCGAGTTTGTACAATCGCGTTTGAATGTAGGCGGGAACTACACGTCGGTCAATGTACAACATATGACAGACGGGTGTGCAAAAGGTTAACTAACCCATGAATAGTTTTGGACGGAGGATAAAAGTACAAGTTCCTTTATTCAATTGGTACTTGTGATTTCAGCGTAGGTACACGCTAAGTCTGACATTTGTCGTCGGGATCGAAGTCCAATTTTGTGGCGATCAGCACATATTCAGTATGATAGTATAGCTCCCGATGAAATTTCAAAACTCTCGAGAGATTGACTGGATGTGTATGGGTAAACGCGTTCGTTATTGATGTACTGAGTATCTTACATTGGGGTGTATAATTCTTGGCTTGCGCTTTCTGGGGATTTGGGTTTGACGCATCAATATATTATGCTTTACAACACTGCTTTTAACCGAGATGTACTATTGAAACAAACTACCTACGCAATGTCACGGTTTACGAAGGTCGCTAATTCATTAAATATGTCTGTAGCTTTTAAGAACTTTGACTCATAATTTCATCAGGTTGCACCGTGGAAATAAGTCGTGGAAGCTTGGCGCGCTGGATCATCGGACGTGTTTAAGAAGCGGCTTGTTGTTACCCTAAGCCACCTACATTACGAGATATGGTCTGTTCACATCAACAGATGACATAATGTGACGAATATTGTACAGCCAGCATCAACCTATAAAGTTGAGGTTGCCTTTTTTCCGCATGCCTCTATGTTAACTCGGTGGTGAATCCACCAAAACGATTTTCAGTTTATCACCGCTTTCGTCGCGCCATTCTATGGTTCCCATTCTGGTCATCCTATGGGCTTGTCACGCATTCGTATTTTGCGTACTACACCATTATGCCATTGTTCCAAACATTTAGTTGCTATTATGTTTAGATACTAGGTTTTCGCCGCTTTACCACCGGAATTTTGAGCTTAGGATGTGAGTTGAGTATGCTATTAGCCCTACTAGGGTGGTAATATAATTCCGAGTATGTCACAAACACGAGATCTGATTCGAACGGCATTTTGTGATGTTGAGATCCTTAATGCCAGCCTAGCTAATAGCTGTGACGATTATGTTGGAGGCAAACCACTGAGTAATGGTATTATTATAAGGGAGCAAATTCAGCCACTTAAAGAGGCACGGTTAAACAACCAATAATTAATCGGTAAGCCGGACAAGGGATTCGGCGTTATGTTAGTGGATAGGACTGAGTATATCTGTAAAACGTAACACATGCTTAGGGATGCGGGTATGTTCCAAACCACCCACTGCCTTGTGGGTCAGGCTATCGAGCCAATGGCTCCGAATGGAGTCCCTCAAGCAAATCTCCGAAGCACAACCGCTTCCTCGCTTGCGATTGCCTACCGATGCAATTGTATGCCTGCAGGCGAAGCACTTAGCATGGAGTGCTGAAACCTGTGCACATTACTGGACCGGAACTCGAGTGAGCGCCCACAGCGACGCGCTGCACTGGTCGCGATGGAACTGGCGCGCTATGACATCTATATTGCGGCGCTCAAGGAATCCCGGCTCGCTGAGCAAGGGAGGTTGCATAGAGCAGGTACTGGCTACTCGTTCTACTAGGTGGGCAACGCCACTTCAGCACCACTTTTCTATGAGTTCGGATTTGCAATATCCGATCGCTTAAATGGCCACCTGGTGGGTGACCTAACAGACATCAGCGCGCGACTGATGTCTGCTGGCCTACGACTCGGAAGGGATAAGTTTGCCACTTCTATAAGCACCCACGGTCCGACCATGTGTTATCCTGATGACACGCGTAGTCAATACAACCCAGTTATCCTCCGTGATACGGTCTGTGCCGAGGAGCGACCGAATATTTTTGCTGCGTGATTTCAATGCTTGCGTTAGGCGCGATACATCGGTGTGGACAGATGTCATCTGGCTGCATGGCATTGGTTCAGAGAATGCGAACGGTGACAGGCTGCTGTCACTGTGTGGCACTCACGGTCTGCTGATCACGAACACTCGGTTTTCATTGAATGCGAGCGATATAGCAACTTGGACGCACCCACGAAGCGGCCACGCTCACCTGCGCTACTATGCCATCGCACATCAGCGTAATATGCTTGAAGTGAGCGCGGCACGTGTACTACGTGGAGCTGAGTGTGGCACTGATCACAAATTGGGTGCGGACCAAACTGTACATATATTTTCGTAAATCTATGTATTACACTCCCGCCGTGTATCGGTGTAAACTGAATATATTCTCCCTTGGCATTGTGGCGAAACGTATGGAGCTGGAGAAGGCGATGGCTGCACGCCTGTGTGATGTGGAATGCATGCTCACAGTGGGCGACCTGTAGCACCACATTCGCAACCAGGTAACAGCGGGATGTGCGATATCTCGAGTGATTGCATCAACAGTGTCTGCGACGGATTCTGCGCATTGGTTGGTGCGACAGAGTTGCGGACACGGGGTTATTACGCCAAAGTGAAATATATGCAGTGGACTGCATACTTTTGTTGTCACATGAGGTGGCTCGGTCATGTGAGCGACATGCATTCGACGCGGATACCGAAACAACACTTAGATGGTCAGCTGAGTGTTGGGAAGCTGCATGCGGGGAAACCGACGCTTCGTTATCAGAACATAATCAAAGTGGGCCTCTCACGTTCTAATCTTTAGTGCAGGTCATGGGAATCAACGGCTGTTGATCGGCGTGCATGGGTCGATCTAATCACGAAGGCAGTTACCGAAGTGCGGGAGAAAGACCTCATACGTGCAGAGAAGAAGCGGCAAGTGCGGAAGCGGCAAGCACCGATGGGTTGTTCTCCATCGACAACGAGCGCATGGTGCTGTGGCACATGCGGTCACGAGTGCTTGACCCAGGCAGGCCTAGTGAGCCATGAGCGAGGCCACTCAGGTCCAACACCGAAACGACGACGGGTCTTACAGATAACGTAGGCAGAATCAGCGAAGCGTTAGTAGGTACGCTACATTCGATTTACCAACCGCTTGCTTGCATGCTGAGTCACTTTATTTCAGGTGGTGGGTTTGCTATATTGTCCTAATGCTTTTTGATCTCATATTAATGTCTACCTGTACTATTTTCTAGAAACTTGCACACGTCGCTTAAGCTAATTGTAGTTAAGTTCGATAACGTTTTCGCGTTTAAGACATTTGCGTAAAATGCATTTTCTTACGTCTTGAACTTATTGCTAATTTATTCATAACCAAGTTATTGCATATGCACATTTTGTGAAGAGTTGTGTTACCGTATCAGTATGTATTATTCACTTTATTTTATTTGATATCGTTGTTTCAAGTAATTGGTTGTTGCTTGATATCCCTGGTGTAACTGCGCTTGGTGTGCATGTTGCCGAGATGACTACGTGTCTGTTACCCACTATCTCGTCCATACTGGGTCCAGGAGACAGTTGGTCTTTGCTGGAGCGGACAAGATGCACAGTCCTCGTGGCCGTGCTAGGATCGAAGAGTGGTTCCATGTAGTGTGCAGCAGACTACGGCCCAGCCACCGCCTTGTGTACGTCTGATACGCATGATTCCGAACATAAATAGAAAGGAATGCTGCTTTTGTGTGGGATGCAGGATTGCGGGCCGGCTAGGTTGATGAAATGTGACTCCCATCCACATGCCTCCCGGTCTTATTCCTTTGTGTTTACACTGGATATGGGGTGTGTGGATGGAGTTTTAGGTGGTGCAGCGCAAGCCACCCATGATCTCTCTGTAATCGCAGGCGTCCTGTGACTGTCCCAAGGAGGACGCAGTACAGGCAAATCCGAAACCGGATGCCGCCAAGCATGTTCCCGATGCTCATAACGAAATGACAACATAGCAGCATTACAGAAGCAGCTACTCGTTTTTCTCAGGCGAAGGATGTAGGCAAACCTTAACAGCAGTAAGGAAGTTTAAAACCTGAAGCATTCTGGTGGACACCTTAGGAGTTTATGCCCTTTCTATAGTTCACAAGGTGGGTCTCAGTACGCCCAGTCTTGGGCATCGCGGGTTCCCCCTCATTTGTTGGCTCAGCAAATGGAGGGAAAGCGACAGCCTGTACGGAGTATGGTTTGCACTGAGTTCGGTAGAGGTACGTTTTGTATTCACTTAGAAAACTGCCAAACCTAACCTTGTCGACAAACGGATGATATGGTTTGGCGCTTAGTCACTGTTTACAACCATACCCTGCTCGAAACTATGGAGCACATGTGTGAACTGGCTAGGCAAATGCTCATTTGCGCAACGTTTCAGGAAACATTAACAGGTAGTACTTCGGTAAATGTTAGACGTTCAGTTCATCTATAAGGAAGAAATATGCTGCCCGAGCGATGGAGAAGCTATATTAGCTTCTTTGGAGCTCATGCTTATCGATAAGGTTATAACTAAATTAGCACACGTCCCATTTAGAAAGCACTTCAGCGAGACCGAAATGTACCCAGGATATATTGATGACACTTTCGTGCTTCGCAAATCATAGAAACATGAGGGGCATCATAATCCTCACTACACTTTCAAGTATGAGTTTGGAAACGGTATATCTTTTCTGAATGTAGACGTGATCATTAACTATGTCGGATCTCGCAGCAGGAAGGTTCATAGAAACCCACATGGCCAAAGCAATACACGAACTTCTACAATGAAGGGCTGTCACAGTTAAAGCAAAGTTTGGTCCGGTGTCGCGCCTTCAGGGTACGCAGTGTTTACTCGCTGTATACTGGTAATGAAGAATTGCAGAGAATCAGCGAGGCCCTGATCGAAACAGACTATTCAGGCAAAGTTATCGCGAAGCATTTGAGGAAACACAAACGCAAGGAACCTAAGGGCGCCGCGTTTAACAATGCTTTGTTTGTGCACTTGCCATTTAAAGGCGATTCTACTGCTGATGCCCTATCCCGGCGCTTGCAATTTGCTATTGAGAAAATTTAGTTCACTGCCTTATTGATAATTATTTACTACTAGAAGCTATTGCTTTCTAAACTTGACGGATG